TCCTTCACTTAAATATGAGTCTCCTTGCTATGTCACTTCCTGCCTGGATCAGCACTTCTCTACTACATTTCCCAGAATCCTCTTTGACTCCTAGTTCTGTCTAACTTGCTGTCTCATTGGCCAAACAGTATTTTATTTAACAATCAATAAGATAAACATACACAGTAGTACATTCCCCATCATGAGCCTACTATTGGCACGTCTGGTCTGACCAAATGGCTCATGACTCCTCACATTTACCATGTAACAACATAAGCTTGTTAGTTTATTATTACAAAAAGGCAGTGAAACCATTTGTTTATGTAGGAGGAGCTGAGTAGATTAACAAATTCTGGTGTATCTCCTAGGATGTCTACAGAGACAACCCCTATCACTGTTCCCCTTTATATTGTGTATCCTTGGCTAGGGTATACCATCACTGTAATACTGGTCTTTTCTAGGTTAGATATCTGTATTTCTGTTTGAAGCTTTCTAGAGTAGGCAGAAAGCAGGAACTTTCTCACTTCTAAATTTAGAATGTGGCTGATAGTGCAGTGTCTAGAGGAAAAGGAGCCCAGATGCACTTGAAGATCTGACCTCACTTCACTCAATATCTTTGGCTATACAATATGGCTCAGAGTTGCTGCAAGTGTATCTTCTACTTGGCCAAAATGATAAAAATGGGCCATAACTCATTTCTTTCTTTTCCTTGATTCAATTTTTCCTATAATCGTCACTTATCCTTTAAGACCCAGATCACTGGTACCTCTAAAAATGGGCCCACTCTTCTCTTGTCTGTGCATTTTTCTTTTTCATTCCACTGGGCTCAGATCATGGTGGGGAGGTTCAAGCCCACACACAGCTCTCAAGGGAATGGCAGTACTTAAGTAATCTGTGCTCCCTGGAGATATCAAAGATAGCTCTGCCCAGCTTCTCAATGGGATTCAAGAAGCCCATATTGTAATGATTTAGCAATGGTGTAGGAGAGAGAACATTTCTAACACTATCACTGACATCTCCTCCTCCCCAACACACAAGGCACAGTTCCAGCCCTCTTGCATTTCTACACCTCTCATCCAAAGCAGCTTGAAAACCACAATTCCCAGATGCTTGAATAAGGGTTATCTCTGACTCAAGGTAATGTAGCTAGGCACTGAAGGTGAAAGGGTGAAAATCTCAGATACTGATTCCAAAACTGCCATTGTGTCTGCTCTCCTGGTGTGTGAGCAGTGTGAGCTCTTCAGCAGCCTGGCTTTCTGAATCTGTTTGAAGCACAGACTATGTATTCATGCTGTCTTCTCCTACAAAGAAATACCTGGTATACATCTCTCCTCACAGTTTTGATGGGCTTGTGTGTTTCATTTTATAACCTGGTCTGAGCCAGTTTATGATCACTGTGCTTTATATAAAGATTGCCCATGCTGCCCTGCCCAGGCTACTGCATTTGCCTGAGCAACCATGGCACTGTGAACCAGGCCCTGGTAGTTGTAGTGTACTACTTTATTGAACATGCTCAAGAGTACAGTGTACTCCATTGTTAAGCATGTTCAGGAATGAATCCACACTTTTATGAATATGTATGAGCTCCCAAAATAAAATTCCCATGTTTTCTTTCTTCTAGGAGAGCATTGCTTTAGAAATAACACCCATGCACTCCTTAAATGCATCAGGTAACAAATATCCCTTTATTCCTCCAAGTCTCATATGTATTTATTTGGGCTTTCCCCCACATAGATTAAAGACTTCAGCATTCCATTACATTCTCTTATAAACTACCATTATAGCTACAGAAGGCATCTCATATAGCCCTCCATCTGCAGGGTATGCTGGGCCTGGATGATCTTGCTGCTGTCCAGACAGAAGTTCCCAAGAGAAGATGGCCAGGAGTACCCCAATAACAATGCCTGGACATGTGCACTCTGTCTTCTCACATTGCATCTCAATTCTGACCATACAAGGTGAAGACATTCTAAAAGTAAGCTTCCATGCAGAACATGTAGTCCAAAAGAACTTTCAGAGCAAAGTATAGAAAAGATAGCAACTTAGAGCTTTGGAATGACCTCTGAATTCTAAGAAACTCAGCCTGTTGTCACTATAGCATTGTGACAAGAACTAAAAGACCTGGCTTAGAATTTACAGGTTTCCCTGACCAAATTTGTTCTGACCCAAAGAGGAAGCTATCAACCTTGAGACTCATTTTCCTCCACTGTGAGGTGAACATCTATGGGCTATGCTAGAGCAATGTATACACAAGTCCAAAGACTCTGCAGCTGCTAGTGGGTTCATCTTTCCCCTTAAGTAGGGTAAGTAATATACACACAGGCAGCTAGTGAGTGTGCTGGTTTCATGGATCTAGTAATCACTGCTTCTCTTCTTTCAGATAGCAAGTCAAAGACACTTGTATACCTCCTCAGTAGCAAGTACATGGGTGGGATGGAGACACAGATAAAAAGAGACCGTTAATATAGCATCTGTGTGCTTCTTTGGGGCAGAGAAGGTCAGTGGGACCTAGCCGGGCCAAGAAATCTTACATTACAGGCATGCATCACTGTGTACCTTAGTTCCTCATACAATTCTGCATATTAGGATTTGCTATACACTCATGTCACACTTTATACAATGCTAGGTATCTATACCTGATTGACACCATTCCCCAGTGCTGACAACAGACATTAATTTTTATGTATGTGGTACTGGTAGAGACTCTGTTCTGTCCTCTGACTATCACACATGGCTAAGTTCACACTTTGCTAGACTACCTCCACCTTGCCACCCAACATCAACTGCTAAGTATCAGTCCCTGTAGGGTGAATCATGCTGCTGATATACATGGACTACTATAGGTGTCAGGATCTGTAGGGAAAATCCTGATGTTACTGAACCATACACTTTTAGGCATCAGATTATGCTAGATGCCCAACCCTCCTAATATATATTGCTAGGTGTCTAGAGTCTGATGTCCAACAGGGTGTGATACAGAGTATCGTATATAGGGCAGAAGCATAGGGTGGGTTGGGTTGAGGGTTTTGACATGACATGTGCAACCGGTACCCATCAGGGCTGGATACCTACCAGTGCATGTGGGGTGGGAACAACAAGAACTGAAGCTTATATGTTTATATGTGCTGGATATGACTTTATCTGTTGCTGATCCAAATTGCTTTGCTGGTTTCTTATGCCATGCTAGTAGCCTGTCTTCTAGTGACCCACATAAATTTCTAGGTATTGGGCCCCTCTGAGCACCCCACCAAAGTTGCTGTACAACCGACAACACTAGTTATCAGACTTGAATGAAAAATCTCATGCCACTGCCTCCAATAGAAATGCACTACTAGTTATCATGTTCTGGTGTGCACTCTTCCCCCAGGCAAAGCCCCACATGCATGCTAGGTTCAGATCCTGCAGAACATCCCTTGGCCCACCACATCACACATACCCTGAGGTATAAGCTCTTACCAAACAACACATGTCCACTGACATACACTACTAGGAATTAGGCCCCAATGTATAATTAATCCCCCCCCAAATCCCACGTACATTGCTATGTTACAGGTCCCTCTGGACAATCTCACTTCATTATACGTGAAGTGCTAGATACAAGGCTTTGATAAACAGTGTCCACCCCCACCTTGACACCACCACGTAAACTTTGTGTTAAGTCTTGCTGGAATCATTTCCTTCCCCATATAATGTACTAATCAGGCCCCGTTGGATATGCCCTCCCACCCTATTACTGCCCAAATGCATCACTAGTTTTCAGGCCATGCTATATACATTCCTTGACATGGCAGAACATCCCTTGGCCCACCACATCACACATACCCTGAGATATAAGCTCTTACCAAACAACACATGTCCACTGATATACACTACTAGGAATTAGGCCCCAATGTATAATTAAATTAGGCCCCAAATCCCACGTACATTGCTATGTCCCTCTGGACAGTCTCACTTCATTATACATGAAGTGCTAGATACAAGGCTTTGATAAAAAGTGTCCACCCCCACCTTGTCACCACCACGTAAACTTTGTGTTAAGTCTTGCTGGAATCATTTCCTTCCCCATATAATGTACTAATCAGGCCCCGTTGGATATGCCCTCCCACCCTATTACTGCCCAAATGCATCACTAGTTTTCAGGCCATGCTATATACATTCCTTGACATCACATATAAACCTCTAAGTATCAGACATAACTGTACAATATCCTCATTGATGCCATACATACAGTGCAAGATATCAGGCTGTGCTGCCCCTTCCATCTTACACACACACACACACACACACACACACACACACACACACAATATATAGGGGCCCAATACCTAGAAATTTATGTGGGTCACTAGAAGACAGGCTACCAGCATGACATAAGAAACCAGCAAAGCAATTTGGATCAGCAACAGATAAAGTCATATCCAGCACATATAAACGTATAAGCTTCAGTTCTTGTATATATATCAGGCCTTGTTAATCAACCCCATATCCCTGATACCAAAATCTCATGTACATAACTAGTTATTATGCCACACACCCATGAAGTCCTCATTCACAGTTATTTATTACACCTGGCCAGACAAGTTTCATGGAAGAAACTGAAATTCTAAAGGGATGAAAAGGTTTTCTAAAGATAGTGCAGAGGACTCACAACCTACACCAAGTGGATTTGGGTATAATCACTGCAGAGGTGGACACCAAGGTGAGCATCAGCTTGGAGCATGAGCTACTTGGGAACTACATTCTCAATCTGGTTAATGTGCCCTGGGACAGGTGGGTAGGCTATGATAGTCTCTGTGACAGAAGAGCTCTTTCCTCCTGTGGGAAACTGATTTTCTTCCCCTTAAGCCCTAGCTCAGATATCTGAAGGGAAATGTAGTAGAGTAAGACAGGGGAGTATACTCACAAGCATTTGAGGTTATCCCCTAGAAGGCTAGATGGGGATAATTACCTCCAAGCCTCATATATTTCTGTACTTGGTTCCCCCATTGGTAGAACTTTCTGGCAAGGATTAGGAGTATGGCTTTGTTAGAGAAGTTGTGTCATTGGGGTTAGGCTTTGAGTTTTTAAAAGTCCACTCCAGTCTCAGATAGCTCTTTCTGCCTTGTGCTTATGTTTCAAGATGTGAGCTTTCAGCTACTACTCCAAGGCAATGCCTGCCTGCTTGCTTCCATGACCCCTGCCATTATGACCATGGACTCTAGATCTCTGAAATTATAACCCCCATTATAAACTCTTTTAAAAGTTGCCTTGATAGTGATGTCTTATTAAAGCAATAGAAAGTACCTAAGACAGGGCTAAAAGAGATTCTAACTCCCAGACAGATTTGGGCATCCCTTTACTCATGTCCCCACTATGAAGAGGATAAAATGGAAGACTAGCACTGAGTCAGATTTCCTGGTGACTGGGATTTCTGGTGGAGAAAACTCTGTTTGTATACCTCATCTCTGTGCTAAAAAGAGCCTCTGTGCTGGGTATGCAGGCACATTGTCAATCTGGACTTCCTGCCTGATTCATGTTGCAGATATCTCAATACACACCAGGCTGATTTCCCACTCCATACCTCAGTATCCATGAAGTCTTATCACTTAAATGTAGAAAGACACATAGAAGTAACTCTCTTGGCAACTGAACTATATGGCACTTATTATTAATTTACAACCTTGCTGTGTCATAGCTTCCTCCTGTATGAACCTTTGTTTCCTTTAGTCAACCCTTTTGCAATGCCTCTGCAGCCACCAGTGACCATTCTCTGTTGTCTATGTCCAGGTCAGCTTTCTCATGTTCCACATAATAAGGAAACTGTTGTTTGTCCATTTGGGGTATAAGTTGCACATCCCATAAATGTATTTAATTATTGTAAGTCAGTTGCAAAGGACATTAAAAATGCATTAATTAAAATAAAGAAGTGTATTATTAAAATAAAGAAGTGTATTTTTGCCCACCACCTACCTGGTTTTGTGTGACTCCATTCCCATCCCCTTCTATTGGAGCCACTTTCTTCTGGAAATGCATTAATTAAAATAAAGAAGTGTATTTTTGCCCACCACCTACCTGGTTTTGTGTGACTCCATTCCCATCCCCTTCTATTGGAGCCACTTTCTTCTGGGAAACATTACTTCTTCTTTGGGGACATAGGCAACAACACAGGCTTTGGAAACAATTCACCAGTCTCCTCTTTACCCTCTTCCAGTACTCCCTTATGTTGTGGGAAGAGGCTGTGATCACACTCTGGGGCTGGGCACCGCTGGAGTTTGGCTCAGATGTTTCACACAGGAAGGAACTCCTTTCTTTGTTATGAGTGCCTGTAGTGGTAACACCTTGAGCCGTCTCCCTGGAGCTCATTACAGATGATGTATTCTGGGGAGATGAACTGTTCTTCAGATTGGTTTCACTCTGTGTTGCTATCTGGGCAATATGGTTTCTAGAAAGAATATTTTCTGATGATGTACTGCCTAAGGCCACAACCTTGGAGGTCATGTGTCTCTTCTGAAAACTGCTTCTCATGAGAAGAGCAACTACAGGATCACATTCAGGAGCTCCTTTGGGAAAGAGGGTCTTCTTCTGTTGACACCACAAGATGTCAGGCATGCTGAGCCTTCTGCTCCCCTTTTTCATTGCAATCTTGTCATTGGCATGAAACTGATGTTTTGTCAGAAAGGTGTAGGTGGGAAGAGCAGGCTCACTCCCTGTGCGTCTTAGGGGGAGGTGGGCCCTTGGAAGACATGAAGGTGTACTGGCAACACTAAATTGCACAGGTTTAATTTGATGATGTATGTTTCTTCCCAAGAATGACTGATGCTTTAATATTAAGTAAGTTGCCATGATGTTGTTAAATTTTTTTTCATGTAAAGAGTCTCTAATGTCCTTGGGACTGTAGCCCATGACCCACATGGCTGTCACAATATTAATGTTTGGTTTGCTAGGGAGCATTTCTGGGGAAGATGATAGTTTTAAAAGTTCTTCACTGTCCTTGAGCCACAGATGTTTCATAATGTCATGTATCTTGGGCCTCTGCTCAGAGTCAATAGTGAACAACTTCACAATGAGGTTGATGATGTGTTCTGGAAGCTTTGGTGGAATATAGTAATGTGGATCTTCCATCTCCACCTTCATATCTTTATATGTTGTTGCTTTGAATGGGAGGTACCCTGTCACCATGAGATATAGTACCACTCCCATGCTCCAGATATCAGGTGTCTTGGGGTCATATTCTTGGCCATTGAAAAGTTCTGGAGCACAGTATGGAAGGGTACCACAGAACATCTTCAATTTCTGCCCAGCAGTTACTTTGATAGCCAGACCAAAATCACACAGCTTGATGCTTCCCTTGCCATCTAACAGTATGTTATCTGGTTTGATGTCCCTGTGTGCAATGCTATTCTCATGGCAGTATTTAACTGCACATACCATCTGTGTGAAGATGTGTTGGGCCTCCTCTTCCTGCATGGATCCCACCTCCACTATATGGCCTGCCAGGTCACCTCCAGAGGCCAGTTCCATAACCATAAAGATATGTTGGGTAGTTTCCATGACATGGAACAGTTTAATTATATTAGGGTGGTTCAATAATTTCATGATATTTACTTCATTTGTGATCAAGGCATCTTTCTTTTTGTCCTTATCCATAATCTTCAGAGCAACCGGAACCTCTGTACGGAGGTGGCAGGCCAGTTTCACTTCAGCAAAGCTGCCTATACCAAGAGTATTGAGGATCATGTAATGATCTGTGAGGACCTCCTCCCCAGAGGAACTTGCCTTCAGGTCTTGATGCATTGTTACTTTTTACTCCTCCTGTTACATATTGTCAGTCTCAATACCAACTCACAATACTAGATTTAAAAAAAAATTCAAAGAAAGTCTATAAGAGAAGTTCATAATCAACAAATTCTTATATAAGTAAAAGCAAGGCAAATCAACCTACCAATGTGCTTCAAAGTCATAGAAATGAAAGAATAAACCAATTCTGAAGCAGTGAATGACACAACATAATAATTATCAGAGATAAAATTAACAAAATAGACAAAGAGTTGTCTATTAGAAAGGATAAGTAAAATTGACAAACCATTACTCAAACTAACCAAATGAGGGAAGACACAAATTATTAAAAATTAGACATGAACAAAAGTGATGTCACCCAGCTATCACTAAAATCAAGAAGCTCACTAGGGAAAATGGGAAAATGGGAGGCTCTTTAGAGAAAGGAAGAGAGGTAAATATAGAAGAAAGAAGAAGGTAGATAACAATAATGATAGCTGAAAAGCCACAAGGAATCATACTATTAACTATTTACCTTAAAACCCTTATAATGCACATAATTCATTATATAAATACACATGTATAGTTTAATGAACTTTTCTGTGCTGATGGTGTTCCCTCCAAGAGCCAAACACCACCTAACAAAAACCCCAATAACAGACATGAAAAGCCCTCTTTTGAGTTGTTGGCCAATGCTGTCTAAAAGAATCCTGTACTACCCAAAACATATAGCCTATCGCTGTTGCCCTTGGTTACCTCCCAGAGGTGGAAGGCAAGCTCATGTTGCTGAAGATACTATGGACTTCAGAAACAGGACTCAGAGGTCTTTGAGCTCAAATTGACCTGAATTCCCCTCCCCAAGAAGTAGCTTTCATGGTACCAGAAGGTGCCAAGAAAACTTCCAAAAATAGAGGCACCCAACAGTCCCAGCTATTATACCTATGAACTGTATCAATGACCAGCATGGCACAATGACCCTGTGAGTACAGTAGTTGGACACACACCTTGGTAGTAGCCAGTGGCTCCCTAATTGGACTTAAGCTGTACTCAGCAAGAGGGATACCATGTCTGGTACTGGAAACCTAGCTAACTAATCAGTACTAGCGAATCATGGTTATTGGAGATCTACAACCACTAACTTACTACACCAGCATGATCCCTAACAACAAACTACATATGTGTCCTTTTACCTACAGATAAGTGTAGTCTTCACTCCTCATCAAGGAAACTTCTTTTTGAAACAGATGGAGACCACCATAGAAAACCACAACCAATCAATATGGAGGGTTGTGGAGCCCAGTCTCAATTGATACATCCACAAAGGCTCAGAGAACATTGTGGAAGGAGCAGGGGGTGTGAGGTGGAAAGATTGTTAGAGCCAGAAGATCAGGGAGTTTGCTGTGAAATTATATTTTCTAGTAACATCAGAAGCTCAGAAAGCTGTACCCATAAAGTCTCACCAACATAAGAATCCAAACATGAGCTGAACAAGAATACCAATGAACATGCCAAACTACAAGGAGGCCTCAACCCTACATAAATAACTGAGTAAATCTTGGAGTGGAAGAGGTAACCCACTGGTCAAAATAGTGCCAAATGGTCAGCCCTGAAAACATACATGCAAGTAACATATTATAGGGACTCAACAGATATTTGATAATATATATGTATATGAAAATACATATGCACATGCAATAATAATTCATGGGGGAAAAGGCCATGAACTTGAAGGGATTTGGGAAGAGGTACATGGGAGGGCTTGTCAGGGAGGAAAGGGAAGGGTGAAATGTTAAAATTAAAATATAATCCCCGCAAAAGATCATTAGGGAGTATTTTGAAAAAAATTTGTCAATTCTAATATCTGGAAGAAATAGACCAATTCCTATAATCATACAACCTATCCAAATTGAGATAAGAAAAACAAAAGTGTGTAAATAGATTATTAACTAGGAACAATGTTGAAATATTAATAAAAAACTACTACAAAGTAATCTATTTACACACATTATTAACTAGGAACAATGTTGAAATATTAATAAAAAACTACTACAAAGAAAAGCCTAGGACCACACAGATCAGCAGATAAATTCTATTGAACATTTAAAAAAAGAACATCAATGCTTCACAGATTCTTCATAAAACAGAAAGGGAAGGAAAGTCAATATTACCAAATTCATTCTAGAAAGTCAATATTACCCTGATACCAAAAGCAAATAAAGACATTATAAACAGAAAATATTATAAATTAATTTCCTTGATGAATATAGATGTGAAAATCCTAAATGACAGCACTTAATAAACACAATTCAACAACACATTTAAAAGGCCATACTCCAGGATCAAATGGATTCATCCAAGAATGCAAAGATAGTTCCACATGCGCAAACTGACAATTAGCATGTAAACAGATTTAAGGGCAACATAATCAGCCCTAAAGAAGCAGAACATTTTGCCATATTGGGAAACTAGATAGAACCAGAGATGGGTCAAATGGGACAACCCAGCTCCACAAATACCACTATCTTCTATCTTATTTGGTGTCAGTGTGTGAGGCAGGGGATCTGAATACAAAGAGGAAACCATTAGAAATATGAAAGAGGTCAGGGATTAACAACCAGACTGTCCACAGAGTGCTGCATAGAGCCTGGGATTAGTTTTTTAAAAAATCTAGGCTTTCAGAGCATTATGGTTCTGCATTGAACTAACTGGTAAGAACAGAGGGCAATTGCATGAAACCCATTCCAAAGCGACTTTGACAACACACCAAACAAAGCTGATTGAAGGATTCATAAAAGAGGGAAGTGTAATGGCTGATGGTACTGGGCAGGACTGTACCTGAATGTTTGATAGAGACCAGGAAACATCTTCCCAAATCTGGGGTTTTACTTACTAATCTCTTCACTGGTGTCCTTGCAGTGAAAGTTCATATCACAAAACTGCAACTGTCTTGGTAATTCTCCCCACTTCCAACTGTGAACCAGAATTATGAACCCTCATTGGTCACATGCTCAAACATTAACCAATCACACTGGATGGGTGGGCTTGGCTCTTGTGATTGGTCAGGTTGAAATCATGTGACTTTTGCTGTGGTTACAGTGGAACTCCTGGTGTAGATACTGGGAGAGCAGTATAAGACATTGAGGCTCCTCATGCTCTGTGCTTTGTTTCCAGGGATATGCCTGTTAAGGCCCACCTTCTCCATCACAGTGCCTTCTGTCTATAAAATTTATGACAGCATTTATTCCTTTCCCAGGCCCCATTAATTTCTAAACAGACTTATTCTTTGAGGATCATAGCTTTCATTTGCTCCCAGCAAATCATTAGGTTTTCCTAAGGTAGTCTAACACTTGGTGTAGAGAAGACAGAGCAAAAGTCAACATACCTGCTAGAGGCAGCTGGTGGCATGCAGGACAGGGGCACTACTACAGGAACATACTACATCCAGTAAGAAAGCACATTAGACTGTAGAGTCCAATTACTCTGTGTGGAAGGTTTTTCTGACCATATGAAGTACAGCACTGCCAGTATTTTGCCTTGCATGATCCTGGGAGCCACTTGGTCCCCATATTTAGTATATCCCTTCCTTCGGGCACCTTAAAGAAAAACTAATGACAATTTTGATACTGAAGTTGTGTCCATAGTCTTCATCCTCAACCACATTAATACCCTTACCTATCCAGAGAAGTTGCAGTGGACAGAAGATAACTGATTTGATAGTAAGCCTATCTATGCTTCACCTTCAACCTGTTTGCCTCATTGACTCTACTAAAGTGTGTTTCATGCAATCAAATGGATCTCTTATTTTCTGAAAATATTTTAGCTGAAATTCTTGAAATTATGTAAAATGACATGACCTTAATAAATATTAGTGTTCCCCTGTACTTTTTTTTTTACAGTTTTTTAGTGTTAATATTTTTTATAAAGCTATAGGACAAACAAGACATTGATATTGGTAGAATACACCTGTGTTATTCAGATTGTATAGGTTTGGTTATATTCACATGTGCAGGCATATATATATATATATATATATATATATATATATATATATATATATTCAGGTCTACTTCTGCCTTCTTAATCTTCCTAATCTCTGGCAAGTACTAAGCAGTCTTCCATTTCATTCTGAAAATAATATAGACATAGAATCACAAAGTATGGATCTTTGGAGAGTTTAGCTTTTCCCCCAGATTAATTCTTGTAAGAATTATATTATCCAGGTCACCGAATGTATCAATAATTGCTTCTCTTTTGAGTATTTCTTAGAGGTGTTCATGTACCACAACTTATCCACTTACCTGGTAAAGGACATATTTATTTATTGTAATCTGAAGCTATTATAAATACATTTTATCAGAACATTCATGTGTAGAGTTTTGTGTGAGCTACAGCTTCATTAATCAAGATAAATGCTCCAAGTAGTTTCTGGGTCATACGGAAACTGTAGGTTTTGTTTGTTTGTTTCTAATTTTTAAATTTGTAAAATTATTTTACAGCATATCTGTCATCTCCAAATTTTGAAATACAGACATATTTTTCATGTTCACATTTCGTGTTATCAAATGCCTGTGGTTAATAACTTACATGATCAGCATGAAACTGTGCTATCATTTGGAGGTTGCCAGCCTTATTAAGTACTCCATCATACTTCATATTGTCAACCAAAAACAGCTCATTTCCTGTAGACGTCTCCTATCCAAATACATATTCCTAGGTGCACTATGTGTGGTATGTGCACCATATCTCACATTTAATTAAAATGGCTGCTCTCATACTGAAAAATAAAACAAACAAACAAACAACAAATCTATTAAAATCACCTAAGAAGAGATGGTATTGGAGAATCCTCAAATATTATCTCAAGAGGCAAGGGGAAAACTATAGCTATTTGAATCCAGACTAAAAGAAGTATTTGTGTATTGTAGGGGATGTTGTAGCTATGCCTGCTTAGGGGCTGGCTACAGGTGTGCCTGACCACACCTGCAAGGGTGAAGTAGAGGGAGGGAAGCTTATATGGC